TCTTAAACAACTAAGTAAAAAAGAAATATATTTCTATATGGACATGAAATAAAGCTGTAGAGTAAACCCATTGTCTTCCTTTCCTTTGTAAAGTTTTCTGTTTTGAGACTGGCAATAGTTTGGTCAGAAGAAGAAATTCTAATTCATGATTCTGTGGGGAAAAAAAAGGAAATATAAAGATTCTTCTCCTAATTCAGTCTTCCACCACCTGCAGGGAGTCCTGTTCTTAAAAAGTACTTCACAAAAGAAGATCGTGTTTTCAAAACAAACTAGATTTTAAGAAACCTTATGTTCGAATGTAAATGAAAAAGCAAACGAGACATTTTCTAACCTTAAAGCATACTAAAAGGTTTACTTTTTCAAGAATCCCAATGTATGGCAAATTTGAATTCTATTTCATTAAAGCAAGGTGTGTAACTATCTATTGTAATGAGTGAGCAAAACTGTCATGTGCCTGTGTACTCCTGACATTCCACATCTGAGTTTTAAGGGCTATATAATATGAGGACCTCAATTGTAAAATTGCAAAAGCTTCCTCTTACATCTTTAAACTAACATACTTTGTAAAGAAGATCTTATCAGTATGGAAAATTCTAAGATTGTGTGTATTTCATAGATATGTATTTGTATTTTATCTCAAACCATTTTGTGGCTGTTGGAGAATGTATTTTTTATGGTATATTCAAACCAGAATTTTGTCATTCTGTTTTATATTTCTCTTCCAAAACACTATTTCTTCTATGTTGAATCTCTAATATATATTTATGTGCTCATACATAAATGTAGATATATATTTGAACATACAGACACACACACACATACACACACATAGGCTTAAGATAACTATTTTACTTGTGCCTCTTAAAATTACAGGATTTTAAAATGGCAATATGTTCATTTAAGTTCACATCATATGTACAGTTCTTTTTTTGGTTTAGTGTTTAGAGAATTCTTGATAATTTAGACTCTTCCACAATGAAAAGTAAAGCATTCTGTCACAAAAGCAGGGAGGATGAGACACAAGGTCAAAGGGCATTTTAGAAACAAACAGCTGGACCAGTTTATTTAAACAGATAGAGGGATGGGGGAACTGACCTCAGTTTGACTTATAGTGGGAGGAGCAAGAATGTCATTTTATTACTTTGCCCAGAAGGAAAATGTTTTTGTATCTGAATTCACCTTGAAGCCATCTAAACATGGCTCTGCTGTGTGTAGCATAATTCCAAAGAGGACGTATAAAATAGTCTGGGATAATGATAAAATACACTAAAGGGAATCAAGTGTGGAGACAGTTTAAGATTGAAAAGGTGATGTTGTTTTAAAAAATAAAATATTTTGCTATTTACTTAGTTGTTTTCACATAGATGTCCATCATGACCCCAAATAATAAGTTGTTCATATAAGTGTAGTAATTGTAATTCAGTAACGTTCTGAGAGATTACTACATCCTGTGTGTACTAATGATATTTCATTATATTGAATTTTTTAAAGTAAATGTTTCACAAGAAGTTGCAGGTAGACCTACTAATGTGGTCAAACGGCTCAGAAAAGGTGATTAGGTTTTCTCAGGTTTTCAGTGTTTTTTTTATGTTTTGTTTTTTAATTAAAGGTTTCTCCCTTTGATATCTACATATTCTAGGGGTAGCTTACATCTGTGTTCTTAATAACAACAAACAGTTCTTGCCACCAAAAAAGAAGCAAATAACACCTAGTACCTGTGGGCAGTTGGCTAAGAGGCTGTGGTATTTTTTGTGTGTATTTGCTTTCTACCTGGGGATCAGAGCAGGCCTGGAATAAATGTCCTTGGTGTTGTTCACTGCAAGGCTTCAGGAGGACATAGACAAAGATCAGCCTACAGAGCAGAGAGCAGAGAGCAGAGAGCAGAGAGTGACCCAGGTGTTGAATGGACTCAAGATCCTAGTAGGACTCACATTCTAGAAGGCACTTTTTTTTTTTTTTTTTTTTTTTTTTTTTTTTTTTTTTGAGACGGAGTCTCACTCTGTCGCCCAGGCTGGGGTGCAGTGGCGAGATCTCGGCTCACTGCAAGCTCCGCCTCCCAGATTCACGCCATTCTCCTGCCTCAGCCTCCTGAGTAGCTGGGACTACAGGCGCCCGCCACTACGCCCGGCTAATTTTTTGTATTTTTAGTAGAGACGGGGTTTCACCGTGTTAGCCGTGATGGTCTCGATCTCCTGACCTCGTGATCCGCCCGCCTCGGCCTCCCAAAGTGCTGAGATTACAGGTGTGAGCCACCGCGCCCGGCCATAGAAGGCACTTTTAAGAATCACTGATGTTTAACGTAAGGTTTAGAGGGGAGAAGCCAATAAAGCATAATGGCTATGTTTAACTATTTGAAGGGCTATCCTATGGAAGTAAAATTAGAATTGCTTGCAGTACCCCAAGGAGTTGTACTGATGAAACTATTGGGTTGATGCAAAAGTAATTGTTGTTTTTGCCATTGAAAGTAATGGCAAGACTGCAATTACTTTTGCACCAACATAAATATTTTTGATCAAGTAAGACAGAACCTTCTAACAGCCTTGTTTGTAGATGGGGTGGCCTCTCAGTAAGGTGATGAGTGCTGTATTAGTTCAGCAGGGGTTACGTTACCTATGTCCTTTTGGGGGACAGATATCATACAGGAGATTCATGTCAGTGGCCAAAGGAAGTGACTGTTACAGCCCTTTCCAAACCTGAGGTGTAATTTTTAAAAACGAACTCAAGACTTTAATAGTCACAGAACGTGAGTTGATTATTATGAATTAGTTTATCGGAGTCTGAACATGTGAGTATGATGGAGACAAGCTTTGGAATACAGATAAGTCAAGTCACTGTATTCTCTCTCTCTCTTTCTTTTTGAATAGCCTTATCTTTGCCTATATACACAAACAGTGCAGCCATCAAAATTTTCAATTTACAAAATGTTCACAGTCATGCTTGTTCCTTGACTAAACACTGGGGTTGCTGCCAGTGGTAATTGGCTCAAATCCAGCTAATTTTTATCTATCTATTTAGTCTGGATATTCTAGATGAGTGGCACAGTAGTTGCGGTGCTCTGGTCACTGCGCCAGAGCACCAGCGAGAAGGGTGCTTGCTACCACTGACAGCCGTGTGTCATTTAGCAAATTATTAACATCTCTTTGGTAACATGCGACCTCAAAGAAGTCATCTCATTTCTCTGAGCTCAGTCTTCTCATCTGTTAAAAATGTCTCTTCCTATTTTTAGGTAAGTCGTATAAATCATATCCATAAAAGATTATGTTTTTAAAAAGTCTGGAGAAAGAAAGTTATGAGACAGAATTCCTTCTCTCTAAGAGTCTGCAGATTATGAACAGTACCATAGATAAAGAGGTGTTTTTGCTCTCTTACCTACATTAGTTACTATGAAAATTACTTTTGGTATATGCAGAATATTAATATTAAATAATTTTCTAATTGGTCATGCAGTGAAGGCAGCTAATGAAAAAGCAGATTTTTTTTCATTTTAATTGGTTATTTCACATGGTGTTTGTGCTACACCTGTGCTTATAATGAGAATGGAGAATTAATCTAACCTTCTGCTCACATGATTCCAATTTTCATGGTTTATACAAGATAATGATAACCTGATTTGCAACACAATTTGTTGTAGACCTGGGTTTTAAATATTTTTATTAGCAGTTCAGGAACTTCATATACAAGAACTGATATAATATGTGTTGCCAACAAGAATTAGCACGAACAGTATACCTTTTAGTTAGATTCTAGTTTCATTATTTGTTTCAATTACTTCTCAGATAATGAAAGAACACAAGGATACAGGATATTGAGAATCTTAAAATGTTATGAAGTATGCATTTTTGTTTTGAAAACCTGTCCCTGTCTGTTTAATGGTTTGGTTTTTTAGGAACTATTTTCCTTTCTGAAGTGGGCGGACTTACAAACTAGAATTCATACTGGACTATGGATCCTTTAATTATTAATAGAACCTTATTAAAATTTTCATTGTATTTTTTATGTCCTGCTCAGATTTGATCTGAGTTGGGAACTAAAAGGAATTTACTATTTCAGAATCTAATATGTCCTCTTCCTTTTCTGGATTTGATATGTAATTTTTAATATTATGCAGTACAAACGGATCTTAAGAGTTAGAATCTCATGAGTATAACTTTGGAGAGCTTATATTAACTACTTTTTTACATTTCAGTGACTTGTCCCTTTTGGAGAGGCTACAAAAATAATTGTACAAAAATATCTTATTAAGGCACTTAAAGTAACTTTAAGTGCCTTAATAAGATGTTTATAAATTTTCAGTACTAGCTGGAGAAAGCAAAATTATAAGTTCAGTTACTGTATATCTGTGACCTTGCCTTGACCTCAGACTTTACATAAAGAGCAAAAAAAAAAAAAAAAAGCCACCCCAAGAAATCTCTACAAGGAATGCATTTCTCTGAAGTCCCAAGCAGCGTTAGTGGTGATAAACTCCAGACATTCTCTCATTTGATGGTGTGCTGCCATCCCAGTTCATTATCTTAATAGTGGGCATTAAAATAGAATTAGGTTTGCAAGAAGTAGGGGCAGTTTTGATAAAAATTGTGAAAAAGAAGTCAGAGAACATAAGATTGAAATGTCACTAATTAGGAGAGGTAACAGATGCCCTTATGAGCATCTAACTCTTTACACCAATTTTCTCTCCTTGCAATTGAAAGGAGTGGTGGCTAGTATTGTTTCCTGAAAACTCTGCTAATTCCCCCATGAAAAGATGAAATGGAAGTGTCCAACTGTGGTAAAACAGGCAAACATAAATCAACTCAGAAACCCCAAGCCTGTGTACTCAAAGGTCACTGGGGGTTACAGGTTTTGCAGCACGTGAGGCTGCACATAGAGCAGTGGAGAGAACTGAAGGAGTCCCATTTTGCCAAGATCTAGTTTTACTCCAACTGCGATTCATCTTTTCCTCTTCCTCAACCCCCCGTTTTATTTTTAAGGAATAATGATTTGTTTCACTTTCTTGGTTACAG